GGGGGGGGTGTTGGGGGTGTTTACATAACATAACACAACAAAAAAACAAAACAATGTTTTTTAACCCTGGACTCTTACCTTTCCTTAGTGACTCGACAATATACATTGGAAACAATTGGTTTAAGTGATTATAGTATATAAGACCTCGGTTTTACTTCTATACATATGAAGGTTGGCAACTTAGCCTTATAACAGAATGTACCCCATCGTACTTCAAACATCTGAAAAGCACATATTGTCAAAATCTCCTAGTTTATAGAAATTCAGAATAGTTGTGTGAGTGATTTATCTTTCACATACTGTGTCAGTCATTAAGCAAATTCACATCCAAAACACGATAGTCCAGGAAAACTTTGTCAACAGCCTGTCTTTGTTTCTGCTGCTCCATGTATCAGGTAGTCCAGGTATGTAATCTACATCCTCAACTGTCCTGTATGTACTGTAAGTTAGCAGGAACACCCAATATATTGAGCCGCAGAGGAAAAATGTGTATATGCTTACGGCGTGAGGTTTTTTTCTGAAGCAATTTTCGTGAGTCTTGTATGTACTGTAAGTTAGCAGAAAAACCAAATATATTGAGCTGCAGAGGAAAAAGGTGCATATGTTTACGGCGTGAGTTTTTTTTTCTGAAGCAATTTTCGTGAGTCTTGTATCTACTGTAAGTTAGCAGGAACACCCAATATATTGAGTCGCAGAGGAAAAAGGTGCATATGTTTACGGCGTGAGTTTTTTTTTCTGAAGCAATTTTCGTGAGTCTCACGCCAAAATCTTTAGATATGGCATGTAAACTTTACCACAACAGTTTGAATAAATGCCTTTTTAGACCGCTGAAGTATTCGGGTATATATTCTGCCACGAGGCTAAGCTGCCAACTTTAGCTACGTAATATTGTTACCACGTATAATGTCATATCATAAACAAATATCAAAACATTTAATTTTAACGGCAGGGATTTTTCTGTGTATCTGTCACATATTTCTAAACATTTTCTTCAGGTTGGTAAGTATGGATTATGAGAAGTTCTTTTTACACAACCAATAACATTTTCTATGTGACGTTTCGATGACTAGTACGATATGTACACTGTCACCTTCATCAGACAAATGACCAATGAAGCGTATGTACACAAAGGTGTAAAATGTGTACAAGTTGTCCATAAAATCGATGTCGATTTCAGCTGCGCTGGAAACGTATATACAATAATATAGTTGTTATATATATGTAGCGAAATGACTCAATTCAGCTACGCTTAATTAACATTTGGTCATAGATGTGCGAGAGTCTTTGAGCCCCCTCGTATCGATTTAGATTAAGCCTGTCACATTATATATATATATACTGCTCCAGTGTTAACATTATATATATTAATAATATAACACCATTTTCTTTTCTACAGAAATGGGCGTCATGTCCGAAATTGGTCAGGCAGTGGAAGAAATGGATTGGACGTAAGATACTGAAATATGATAATTAATTGTTCTATCAATGATGTTATTCAGTTGTTACTTAGTTGATTGGAGCCTCAAGGAATGTATTACTGATCTCAGTGATCGCATGGAGGGTCACGTACCACATGTGCATGTGACTGTTCTGGGGCTGATGAAGGAGTTACACGTTACCTGATTTGTTTAGACAATCTTGTCCTTGGCACAATGACACTCATTAAAGTTATATATGCCAAAGATCATATATACATGTATTTGTTTTAAGTCGACCATAACATTCCAGTGTTTCTTTTAGGATGAATTAAGGTCCTCAAAAAGGCCCCTTCCTCTTGATAATTTCTGCTATTTTCCCCCAGAATCCATTTTTCTGAAGTCACAACATGCACATGCTCCAATGCTCCAGTGGAAAGGAAGAAGAAAAATTACTGCATTCTTTTCGAATGAATTACAATTTCAACTGTTATCAAATTATCCTGTTTTTTAATGCTTAAATAAGGAATACATTACTTAAGATTAAGCTTTGTTTGTTGCACAGTGATTAAGAAACATGCTTTGTACAAATTTACAGCCATTAGATAGGTACATTAGGTAGATTGGTTTTCATTACACTCACAAAAAAACCCAAGAAGGAAACTTTGTTTTTAAAGTTTAATACTATCTTTAACCCTATAGATACAAAGACTATACACTAAAAATCACCATTCCATAAAAATTTGAAACAAGAAATTAGCTGCTGGACACCAAATCTGTTCATGAAACCCACTTGTTGTCTTCTCAGCTTTGGTTTTGAAAAAAAAAAATTGATGTTAGAAATAGAAAAATCAAAGTGTGAATGTTTTTTTTATTTACAGTTTACCGACAGATGTACAGTCCGAAGCTATACCCATGATCCTTGGTGGCGGTGATGTTCTTATGGTAGGACTTAAATTTATACGGCAGAAATATAAGTGTTTTGCTTTTTTTTTGCCAAAATGCAAATTAATGAGTACTATTAACTGATCAACAAATCTTTGTTTTGCATTCTTATAGGTATATAACATTTGAAACTTTATATCAAAGAGTAGAGCCATATTAACTCATTCACCCCTGAAGACACATTTGAACTCTTCCAATTCAAAGGTTGGAATAGTTCATTATGAAATTTCAGGGGTGAATGAGTTAACAGGATTTTGATCACTTCACCCTAAATCGTGTTCGCACCAAGAGTTGATTGCCCTTATCAAAAATGCATTTTCAAGTTATAAATATCAGATTTTAATGATTAAAAAACTTAAAATTTTGTGTTGTCAATTTTTTTTTCATGCTGGTTGTATATGCTACATTTTATATGCAGATCAGTGCAGATAAATGTTTTAGGGCAAAACAACCTACATGTAGTATGAAACGACTCGGAGCGAACAGGATTTAGGGTGGAACGACTTGACACTATATGCACAGTTCAAAGTTCACCATCTTAGAAGGAAGTGTCTCATATTATGATTGTTATGTTGCAGGCTGCTGAGACTGGAAGTGGTAAAACCGGAGTAAGTATGGTTTGCGATTAAATTACAGTCTAAAGGGTAGAATTTTTAAAGCAAGCAGTTGAATGATCAATTATGGACTTCTGTTGAGGTCCATAAGAAATACATATACACTAAAATAAAAATCTTAAATTGTTAAATAAGATGCTAAACATTGTTCAAATCAATAAAAAAGATGAAATGGATGAAAACTGAGGGACGACAATACTGGATTTGGCAAAAAGCATTGTGACGTCACAATTGAATTGACGTCATAAAATGAATATTGACCTGCAGTTGCTTAAAATAATAAAAGTAAATATCACAAAATACCGACCCCCACATGATTATGATCAAGCAAATAACGTTTTTGTAGAAATGGAAATGATAAAAGATATATGTATTTCATATATTTACTCTTTTCTATAGTAAATGGGGAGACACCTCCTAGGCGGAAAAATGTTGAACAAACTGAATCTTTATCTTTGTTTGCAATACGGCACACAATGCTGCAACACTTTACATGGAGTTAGTTAAAATACACAGGGCAACCTGAATGTTTCATAATGTCACACTTTATAATACCATTATTCTACATTTGCAGGCTTTCTGTCTCCCAATAATGCAGATTGTGTATGAAACCCTTAAGGACCAGGAAGAAGGAAAAGGAAGAAAGGTCTCCTCTAAAACTGCAGGTTAAAACTTGATGTATTCACAAACAGGTCTATTACCATATTTATCTGGCACTAAGCCCATGCCTGGTAATAAGCCCACCGATATCTATTGCAATTTTTAGCGTTTTGTAACAAAATGTTTTTCCATTGTCTTGTAATAAGTGCCCCCCTCCTACATTAAATCTGAGATTATGTGTTTGCCTTTTGGCTTATTGCAGGATAAATATGACTATTATTTTCAGAAAACGATGAATTATGGGTACAGAAAATGCATCAGGTGTCAGATTTCCTTTTCACATGACATAATATATTTAGCTGTATCCAAATAAGTTATTTTTATTAAGTGACCATCTCAACGATATTGAATTCAACATGGCAACATTAAGACTTGTGAGTAAAGGAGAGTTTCTCTGTTGTTATTTGCAATAAACCCTTCTACAGTCAAACCATCAGAAAAATTTGAAACATCAGAGCTTTGACTCACGAATGCTGAATATTGACCATTAAATTTCCGAAGCCTGTGACGTTGTAAATGCAGCTCATTTTCCATTTCAGTTTAATGGTTGTAATTTCAACCTTTTTTATAACACACTGGCTTTGATTATACTTCAAAACAGCGAGAAATTTGACTCACAAAACTTTAATTCCTGAATCGAATATTAGTAGTGTTACATAAGGGGGAAACCTGTAGATCGACACATCGAGAAATTCAAATATTCCAATTCAATTTATGGAAGTTTGACTGTAAATGTTAAACTAGTTTTATTTATAGCAATTATACAGTGACGCATTCAGGTAAATTTTCTTTGTGCATTAAATTCTGGCCTTTTAGCCCATAGGAATTCAAATGATATTATTTTTCGGAGATACTGTACCAACTGTACTCCCTTATAAGGACTAAACATTTTATTCTCCCTATAGAAAGTATGGAATATCTTCCCCTCTTATTTCATTTCTGTGTTTTATTTTGAATGTTGATGTTTGTAGCATCTGGGGGAAGTAACTGGAAGATGAACATGCACGACCGAGGAGATGCTATGGGTAATTAATTTCTTTGTACAACCATGCAGATGCATGTAATTTAACTCATTCACCCCTGAAGACGCATTTGAACTCTTCCAGTTCAAAGGTTGGAATAGTTCATTATGAAATTTCAGGGGTGATTGATTTAATAAACGTCATTTCATTGTCAAGATTTAAATTGGATATAATCAGAGTTGCATAAAGGTTTTTGATAAAAAATGAACCTTATCACTGTACAACCAGATGCATGTAATTTAACACTCATTCACCCCTGAAGATACATTTGAACTCTTCCAGTTCAAAGGTTGGAATAGTTCATTATGAAATTTCAGAGGTGAATGAGTTAATAAACATCATTTCATTGTCAAGATTTAAATTGGATATAATCAGAGTTGCATAAAGGTTTTTGATAAAAAAAATAACCTTATCACTGAAAGTGGAATAAATTACATGTTTTCAATTTTTTTGAAATATATTTCGAGCATCATGTATGAAAATAATTATGTAGAATTGAATAGATCAACAATCCAGATGTTATAGTATTAAGAGAAAGTCAGGATCTTTTTGATACATGGGTTAATCTAATATCAACACCTGAAACGATGTTACGCCGCGACACCGTCAAAAGTCTCACCCATTGGAAAGCACAATGGACGGAAATCTCCCACACTGAGCTCCTTAGAGATTGGCAACCCTAGTATAATTTTTTCAATATATTTTGAGCATCATGTATACAAAGTTTACATAGTCACAGAGTCAATCACAACAGGCGAAGGAGAAGATACTGCTTGTAGTTCATTAGAAGTGTCACTTCTTGACATTTCTAATAAACTACATGAACCTTTGCCTGTGTGATTGAATCTATGACTGTAATGTTTTGAAAGTAGTGACAAAATCAAGGTCCGATATGGGCACCGGATCCAAACAAATTATTAAAGAATTCATTAGATCTATTAATTAAATTAAGTCTGCAGAGAAGTACGGTAATAACTGCAACATGAACAATGAAATAAGTACAAATATATTCTGCAAGTATATATTTTATTATTTGGTTTAATAGTTCAGTTGGTATTATATTTTTTGTCAAGTGTTCCCATCTTATTTTGGCACCTTTGGTCATAGTTAGACATGTAATCCAAAACCACAAAAAGAAACAGCAATTTTAAGATATTTGGTCATAGTTAGACATGTAATCCAAAACCACAAAAAGAAACAGCAATTTTAAGATATTTGGTCATAGTTAGACATGTAATCCAAAACCACAAAAGGAAACAGCAATTTTAAGATATTTTAGAGTTTTTTCTTCAAATTCTGGGTCACATGGATTGGTGACACGTCAGGATCATCAAAGTGAGGCGGAATTACATCTGGGCTTCATATGCATATGAGATAATTTGCGGACGTTATATCGTGGTTATTCTCTCGCAAGTTATTTTGATTGACCAATCAAATGTCGTGTTACATCTGAAATGAATATGAATTTCTATTAATTTTGCAGCCATTGGTCCAGAAGGACTGTTATGTCAGGCTCGGGATCAACAGAAATGGCATGGAACACGCTCCAATAAAGCCATCACACAGCAAGGTAGGTTACAGAAGGTTAAAGGGAGGTAATTATAAAATCTCGTGGTGTAAAAATAAAAACTGCCTAGTGTTTTGAATACATTTTCAAGTTTTGGGAATTGTCCCTGTATGGTCCTTTGATAATAAACATTTGCTTTCTGATGGAAATCATGGTTTTGTTTTGGGGGGAAAAAATTGTAAAACTTTGTAACATTTTTACATAGTTTCATTTTCATGTGATATAATTACAGGACACACCCTTAATAAAACAGATTCTAACATTTCTGTGCCTTAATGCTGAAGAAGGTTTCATTTCAGGTTACTTGTGCACAGTGAAACCTGTCTGATCTGACACCTTGTGGAACACATGCTATTTGATAGATTCACCTGTCTAATCTGACATTCTGTGGGAGGAAACATAATTGTTAGGTCAGACAGGATATCGAAATGTACGGGTCTTATTGCGACAGTTTTCATAAGAAACAGGATTGATTGGGCAGGATGTCAGAATACTTATAAAGTCAGATTAAAAAGGATGTATAAATACTTCAGGGTCATATTAGACAGATTTCACTGTATCCATACCTTCCTATGGTGAAATGCATTCTCCCCAGGTCTTGATTCAAAAGCACCTAACGTCACTTTGTTAATCCATTGTGAGTGATGTTTCTCTCATTGTATACAGGTCCAAGGATCAGAGTGAGAAGAGCTCGCCTATAAATAAGGAAGTGGTATACTAATCAGATTTCAAACTTGCACGTGCGATACCTGAGGCTTGAATCTTGCTTGGTCTGTCAGATAAATATTGTACAACCTGAGGATTTGTTTTAGGTCGCTACTACTTTGAGGCAACTGTCACAGATGAGGGGCTGTGTCGTGTGGGATGGGCGACCGACAAGGCCACACTAGACCTCGGCACAGACAAATTCGGCTTTGGTTTCGGTGGAACAGGCAAGAAGTCCTGGGGCAGACAGTTTGACAGTTACGGAGAGGTAAGATTGATTCAGAGAGGCATGCTTGGTTCTTATAGACAGGTAGGATTCACTTTGTAGATGAAGGTTATTTTATTTCTTAGGACAAGACATATTTGACTTGCAAGTACACATAAATTAAACTTATAGAGATTGGTAGTTTGACTTTTGTGGGCTTTTATAGCTGAATTGTGTTTGACCGTTATAGACAAAAAGGTATGACTTTGAGATAGGAACAATACGTGTGTGATGCCTGTACAAATGTTTAGATCATTTTACAGTAGAGATGGCTGAAATATTAACACCTTCCCCTACAGAACTTAATGCTTTCTCTTCTTTCTATTCTACAGCCTTACGGTATGAACGATACCGTCGGTTGTTACCTGGACATAGACAACGCAGAAATGCGCTGGTCCAAAAATGGTATGTATGGTATGGCGTAAGTGTATCCTCGCGGTCATAAGTGCAAAGTTTCACGAATATCTTGTCCGTACCAGAACTTTTAAACCATTAAAGGGGAGACATACGTTTTTGCTCACAAAAACAAATCTCTAGTTTCATTTCAATTGTATAAACTCAGTGTAAAAAACAACATCAGATCACTTGGTGAGGGCTGTCTCTATTTCAAAAACCAAAAACTTCCAATCATTTGGACTGTGATAAACAAAAACATAGTTTACTGCATGGTTGTTTAAGTTTGCGGGGCTAATATTTCAGGGTTGTCCCGATCAGAGCTTGCTGGTTGGAATTGAATTTTGTGCAACATGGTAAAGCTATAATACACATGAGGTTTCTTTTGCATTTGGGTGATTGGATCTATTTTTCAAGTGTTTTGTGAAAATGAAGTAAAATGTGATATCAAATTGTTTTATCGTCATAATTCCGCAGTAAACGGATATACAGATGTTTTCCTTTGTGTATGCAAATATTCACAGAGAACATAGGAGAATATATATAATTTAAGGATTTAATAATCGCTGGGTATCTAATTTTGCGCTATCGGTGGTGATCCCCCGCGAATATTACCAACTTTACAGTATGTTGACTTGGTTTTAGGAGTGGACCTTGGTAAAGCCTACGATATTCCACCACACTTGAGAAGTGAGAAGTTTTATGCTGCAGTCACTCTGAAGGTTAGTATGTTACAGTTTTGTGGGATATTCCCGTGATTTTACAAGTGTAAGATATTATTAATTATTATTTCTATTAAACTCTAAGAGTTTACTTAATCCTATGGAATCCTTCAGCAAAAGTGGAGCCCACTGTGCCAAAGTACTAAACATCGTACAAGAATATAATTTGGCAGTATTTTTACTAAGTCTGTGACAAAACTCTGTAAAATCCTTCACTCGGTCATAATATAGTTGACATTTTGAGCAGATACGTGTGTCGTGATAAATATCGTATGGTATCGTAGGTATGGTACTGTGATTATGTATCGTAATGTGGGGTATCTGTATCGTTGCGGTCCTAATGATCACAAAAGGAATAAAAATGAAATTAAAACAATTTTGAACATACTGTAAAAGAGCTTATTTTAGCGCCCTCAAATCTTAGCGCATTATCAACTTTTAATAGATTAACGCATTGATGTATTGGTGGACCCTGAAAACCTTCATTAAGAACAACAAACAAGAACTTCGATTGATGCATTCATAATTTATTGCGATATTTAAAGCACAGAAAGAGCTTTAATAAGACTACCAGTAAAATATGTTCATTTACAGTAATATTTCATATGGTCACTGACCCACATTAGATTTCCTGAATTGAAACATATTATTTTTATTTTACAAATTTATAAGGAAACTATTGCATACCTGGTATATGCTTCTGTATACCGAGAAATTTTCTGTAATGAGGGCGAATTTATCATTACAGCGAACATTTATAAACAACATAATATACAAAGTAGTTAAATGTGAAGGGCAAATTTAGTATTGTCTGAAAATGGATTTTACTGTCTAATGACCAAAATTTAACTGGGCGATAATTTTCCGGTACACAGTATATGTGTTGCATCTTTGAGCAAGATACTTCACTCGGCTTGTTCCAGTCTACTCAGCTGTAAATGAGTAGTGCTAGAATTGTAGAATGCTAGCTGTGAGCGCCGAAATGGCAGCACCGGCTGTATGCTCCCCAGCATTAAAAAAGTCACTGGTTGAAATTATCAGATAGTGTCATGATGTTGTAATGTAGTTACCAACCAAAATACTGAAATTAAGTTATATTCTATTTTGTAGAATGCTGAAATGGAGTTCAACTTTGGTAAAACACCGTTCAAGTTCCCTCCAGGCGTAAGTAACAATGTCAACCCTAATTTCTAAGGATCCCTGTACCTCTGTCATAAACTTTAAAAAAGGGTTCAGAACTTTTTTCTGTATGGATCCAAGTTGGACAAATCATTTCTGAAAAGAAAAACATACCTTGTAGGACTTTGATGAGAACAGAATAAGAATAAAAGCAAAAATAAAAGACTAATGACAGTGATGTGAGTGTAAAAATGCAATGGGGCTGCACCAAGATTTGAACCCTGGGCCTTCAATCATTATACTGTCACTTTACCCAATCAAGTTACCAGGGCTGCTTTCGTTTACGGCAATCCAAACGGCTGAACTGAACGAGATAAGGCCCAGTAATCAGATGCTGTTTTCAGGGAAGCCTTGATAAAGCCTTGCAGGGCCGGCTTGAACATTTGCAGGTCCTCCAGGATTTATACCATAAATGTTAACGTTTAAAAGTGGATGAACCGGTTGCTCTGCATAAACGAACAGGCCCCTGGTCAAGGGAAGTTCTCTCTGATCCAGTCTCCCTACAGTTAAATCTACAAATGAATTAAGGGGAGGTTACTGCATGTACGAAACACTGCGGTGGAAATGAAATTTTCTTTTACTTGCCACAACATAATGGCTAACATTCTGTTATTTCAGAGTAAATACGTCCCCCCCCCCCGTCAAAATGACACCATGTTACATATTTCACATATAAAATATTTTGTTGTGTGATTATTTTACAGAAGAATTTCGTGGGTTTAGCCCAGGCCCCTTCGCAGTGTGTTGTACAGTCCAGGATTTCCAGTAAGTAGACATGTCGAGAAATATTACGGTCACTTATGCTCTTTGCACCTCTGGAATGTGTCATGGTAAAATCGAAGGCTCAGTGCACACCACCTTGTAGGTGAGACTAGAATACTAGTTTGATCCTTTGATGTACATCAAAAGAATCTTGCGGCTGCGTAATGGTAAAATTGGCTGACGTTGAAGTCGCACGTTGCTCCTCTTAAACTTCAAAGGACAAGTATGAGCTTTGCGACTTGTCCAATTTTTAGCTCACCTGCCCGAAGTATAAACGGTGGGTGTGGACCCCCTGGGGGCAGAGTAGCAGGGTCCTATAGGGGTTATTTAGGTAAAACATTTAAAATTCTTCTTCTACCATTGGAATTAAGGGTTTTTATCCTAATTTGGTCTGGAGAATCCTTGGGCAAAGGGGACTTAATTTTGTATAAACGGTGGGTGTGCCCCCCTTGAGGGCAGAGTGATGGGGCTGAATAGGGGAAATAGAGGTAAACCTTTAAAATTTAGAGTATTGTAGGTCTAAAATTGAAACATGAATCAGGGCTATTCCTGTAAAACATTTACCCAAACAAATTGGCAGGAAACCCAATCAATAATGAAATGCTGTAGCATGAGTATAACATGGCCACTAGATCTGAAAATCATGAAATATAGATCACATAAAATTGACCATTTTAGGAAAAAATTAGGATTGTGAATGTTTGTTGTGTTTGTTAATGAAAAAATCTGTTCATCATCTGTAATATTTTATATGTACATGTATATTAGAAAAAAGCGCTTTAGAGTGGCTTATGTTAGCTAGATAGGGCCCTATATCAAATGTTGTATATTATTATTATTATTATTATTATTATATTCAAACTTAAAGTAAGAGTTTTTATATTTTGTAGAAAAAAATAATAATTCTGAATTTTCTTTGTTTTTAGGTGGTGTAGCGGTCAGTGCCAAGCCTGCCCCCAATGCCCCCCAGGCCATCATCATAGAGGTTGGTTTTAAATGACAAATTCTATGTTATGATAGTGTCGAAAATTTTCCAGTTGCTTGCTCATTGACACCTTTTTTACCTTTTTTTTCCATATGAGATTTTAGTTTTGCAAAAGGATGAATAGGTCTGATCTCTAGAATGATAAGTTGATATCGGACATACTCTTTTCCAAAAAATATTTCTTATCATTTTACTGTCATTGATATGACTTATTAAAAATTTAAGAACATATATTGAAAATATCCTGTCTGTTCACTTTTGTGAAAATGTTACAAAATATTTTCATAAATTAAGAAAAACTGAAATCAAGTAAAATTTAGATACATTTCCAGGATGCTTTTAGATATAGAGACATATATGTATCTGTTAAAATGAACAAGTTTCAGCTATGCAGATATATTTCCAATGTGAATACAATTTTTAAATAAACATTCTACAGAAAAGCATAGCTACTTTTTGATGAATTCTGGGCCAGGTCCGAGATTTTCTCTTTCTTTTTCTATGACAATTGAGTATATTTTTTTGTATTAAGGCAATTTTTGTACTGTTTTGGTATGTGTATCAATGTTACTTACAATGTATATTCACACCAAATAGGGCACTATTATTTTGGGTTTTATAAAAGTTGTTTGAGGTTATGGTGGATGTTTAATCATCATGCTTTTAAACCTGTCATGTGAGGTGGCAGGGATAATTTTAGGCCAAATAACTGATGTCATTTAAAGGAGAGTTCAAGCTACATTTAACGTTTTAATTTTACAGCCTTCAAGAGAACTTGCAGAGCAGGTAAGCAGTTTTTATTAATATATAAAACTAGCTATTTGAAAACATTTTTTTTTTCTTCATGTTTTTTTTTGTACTTAAATTTATTACAGGATACATAAAGTATAGTAGATATCAAACATGGACATCGTATTGGAAGATTGTCTTACATGAGTTGTCCCTCTTCCTATGATAACATCACTTTATTCTGTTAGTAATGCTTGCTGATACTGTTGGGTCCTTCCTACTCTTTAACACTGTGTTTATTTTGTAGACTTTCACACAGATCCAGAAGTTTAAAGTCCATCTGTCTAACCCAACCATTAGGTAAGTATCTGTCAAATAGCAGGTAAATTAAAACTTTACTTTACCGACACCTGATTTGAAGGACCTCTTTATATTGACATGATTATGTGGCCCTGTTGAATGACTCCTGACTTAATTTGTGCTTGACATCTCACTTTACTGACACCTGATTTCACTGACACCTGACTTTACCAACACCTGACCTTACTGACATCTGGCTTAACTTACACCTGACTTTATTGACACCTAACCTTACCCACACCTGACTCTACTGACATCTGACTCCTTCAACATTTGCTTTTACTGACACCTGACTGTACAGACATCTAATTTACTGACATCTGGCTTTACTGACACCTGACTTTATTGACACCTAACCTTACCCACACCTGACTTTACTGACATCTGACTCCCTCAACATTTGCTTTTACTGACACCTGACTGTACAGACATCTAATTTACTGACATCTGGCTTTACTGACACCTGACTTTACCAACATCTGCCGTTACTGATACATGACTTTATTAACACCTGACTTAATTGACATCTGACTTCACTGACACCTGGCCTTACTGACATCTGATTTAATTTACACCTGACTTTATTGACACCTAACCTTACCCACACCTGACTTTACTGACATCTGACTCCCTTGACATCTGCTTTTACTGACACCTGCTTTAACTGACACCTGACTTTACCAACATCTGCTGTTACTGATACATGACTTTATTGACACCTGACTTTACCGACACCTGACTTCACTGATACCTGACTTTACTGACATCTAACTTCACTGACACCAGCCTTTACTGACATCTCACTTCACTGACACCTTCCTTTACTGACATCTGACTTTACCGACACCTAACTTCACTGACACCTGATTTTACTGACATCTAACTTCACTGACACCTGACTTTACTGATGTCTAACTTCACTGACACCTGACTTTACTGACACCAGACTTTACTGACATCTAACTTCACTGACACCTGACTTTACTGACGTCTAACTTCACTGACACCTGACTTTACTGGCACCTGACTTTACTGACATCTAACTTCACTGACACCTGACTTTACTGACATCTAACTTCACTGACACCTGACTTTAATGACACCTGACTTTACCGACACCTGACCTTTCAGACACATGACTTTACTGATACCCTAGCTTAATGAAACCTGACTTTTACTGACACCTGACTTTACAGACACCTGATCTTACTTACACATGATTTATCAAAGGATTAACTTTACCGACATCTAAACTTACTGACACATGATTTCGTTACATTTGACTTTGTCAGTTATGTCCCACTCATTAAATCTACTCACAAATCACTGTACACAACATCACTGTACACAAATCACTGTACACAACATCACTGCTCACACATGTTACTACAATTTCTTATTCAGGGAGCTACTGATTATTGGTGGTGTCAATGTCAAGGACCAGTTGGACGTCCTGCAGAGGGGGGTAAGTAGAAGAGCCTGTCTTATTTATACATTTGGGGGAGGTGAGAGGAACAGCCTTTGATATTCATACAAGGGTGGGGAGGATGGGTTTCTGAATAAACATAATGCAAGGTGAATAGTTTGGTGGTTTTTGTCTCGCTGCCATGAAGCGAGGTGTTACTTTTCCGTCAACGGCGTCAACATTCAGTTTTTGCGTTTAAGTTAGTTTCACTGAAACCATAAGTGCTAGACCAACCAACTTGGACCATAGATGTGTCTTAGGAAGTACATCTCAACCCATGCATCAAATGCTGGATGCAGCCTACCTTTCATGATCCATTGACTTTGTCAGCATCTCCATCAACATTACGTTTTTACGTTTAAGTTAGTTTCTCTGAAACTATAACTGCTAGATCAACCAAACTTGACATGTGCATTGATGGTCAAAGCAGGGCACAGACAAAACTTATTAATCTGAATGGCTTGTTTATATGGTGGTATTTAACTGTGTTATATGGGAGGTGATATTGTGGTAATTTATCGTCTGCATTTAATTTTGTCAGGTGGATATCGTCGTGGGAACCCCTGGGAGACTGGAGGACCTCATCTCAACAGGCAAGCTGCTGTTACACCAAGTCCGCTTCTTTGTCCTTGACGAATGTGTGAGTTTCTCTCCCAAAAAATTCCAAGGGGAAACACCCAGTTGTTTTGGGAATGGGGAAAGTGAATATCTTTCAGTCTGTCTAGATAGCTAGAAAAAGTCTTGAATGACTTAACCTCCCTTTATGATATTAATGAGTTAAAATATTAAATGACTTATTTTGAATAATGAAGAGGCCCAGGGTCATGATATTAGGCCAATAATTTACTGGAATCTATGGCTCAAGTTTTTTCAAATGAAGGACCTTGACCCACTTTGAAGGGCACAGAGGTCAAATGAGTTAAAACCTTTAAATGACTCATTTTGAGTAATGAAGAGGCCCAGGGTCATGATATTAGGCCAATAGTTTACTGGAATCTATGGCTCAAGTTTTTTTCTAATGAATGACCTTGACCCACTTTGAAGGTCACAGAGGTCAAATGAGTTAAAACATTTACATGACTCATTTTGAGTAATGAAGAGGCCCAATGTCATGATATTAAGCCTATAGTTTACCGGAGTGTATAGCGCAAGTTTGTTCAAATGAATGTCACCAACCCACTTTCAAGGTCATGGATAAAATGTGATAAAACATTTAAACAAATCCCTCTGAATAACTAAATAGTTTGTGGTCATTATATAATTCTTGTAGCATGCTAAATGGCTATTCATCAAATTTATTAAAATAAATTACCTGCACCAGAATTCTATGTCATAAGTTTCAGATCTTTTAAAAAACAACGAAAACATTTCTATGGTATCATAAAAAGGTCTAGGGTCATGATTCTTGGTCTGTACCCTGCTGGGTTGAGAGCCTGTCAAAAAAGTTCAGATAAGTGAGCTTGAACTACTTTCAAGGTCACAGTAATCATTTGTTTAGACCTTTAAAAAACAATTTCTGATTGACCAAGATCCCAATGGTAATAATATTTGGCCTATATAGCTTGCTGATGAGAAGGGCCATAAAGTGTTGTATTCCAATGAATGACCTAGATCATATTTGAAGATCATGTGAGTAAAATTAGTTAGATGTTTCCTACAAAGTTTTATAGCATAAAGAATAATAAAATGTTTCAATAAATATCAATAATGTGCAGAGTAATGATGTTTAGCCTATTTAGATAAATTTGACTATGACCGACAAGTGAAATGAATAATTATGTAAGACAGAAAGCAGGACAGGCCCAATGGGCCTCTTGTTGCATGTGTGCAAATCATAAATATAATAATGAAACTGGTAGATTAAGGTTATACCTATTTTGATTTGTAAGTCCATGTTAAAATATCTGCTTATTTTTACCCTTTGATTTTCCTGGGCCAACCACCAGTGCTAACGGGAGTTAAATGTACGATCAATTAGATAACTACCTAGCTATGCAACTGGGTTTTTCTGGGTGTAAAGTTTATGATATTTTGTTTTTTGTATATTGTTATACCCCCACAACGAAGTTGGGGGGTATACTGGAATCAGCTTGTCCGTCCATAGATTTTTTTTGTCCGGACAACTCCTTCTAAAGTAATGGACCGATTTCAACAAAACTTTCCAAATATGATAACTATCACCTGAAGTTGTGCATCCAGGTACTATTTTTCATTCTGACCCTTTTTTTACGGAGTTATTGCCCTTTGTTGAAAAATGCTTCCCCGCACAACTTCTCCAAAACTTCTGGGCCAATTTCAATGAAAGTTTTCCCATATGATAACTACCAGCTGATGTTGTGCATCCAGGTTTTAATTTTTCAATCTGTTCCTTTTTTTGGAATAATATTATATGGCCCTTTGTTGAAAAATACTTGTCCTGACAACTCCTCCAAGACCATGGAGCCAATTTCAACGAAATTTTTTAGATATGATAATTATATATATATAACTACCCCCTTATGTTCTGCATCCAGGTATTTCTTTTTCCAACCTTATTTTTATGGAGCTATGGCCCTTTGTTGAAAAATTCTTGTCTTGACAACTTTTCCTTATTTACTGGGCCAATTTCAAAAATGTTTTACAGGTATTGTAACTGTCCCCTTCAATGTGCATCCAAGAGAATGAAAACCACACCCTCTCTTACTTTTTCATTCCAACCCTTTTAAAAAGAGTTATGGCCCTTTGTTGAATAAATCTTTGTCTGTCTAATAAACTACTCAGCCAATTTCAATGAAAGTTTACAGATATTGTAATTACCCCCTGATGTTGTGCATCAGGCTAGTATTATATTTTTCCTTTCAACCCTTTTTAAGGAGTTATGGCCCTTTGTTAAAAATCTTTGTCATGACATCTTCTCCTTAAATAATAGGACAATTTTAACAAAACTGGTTCATCTGGGCTAACAAAATTTGGTATGTAAGTATGTTTTGGTATGGGGATGGAGTATAGGAAGTATGTCAGTGACCAGTATACTTAAATAAGTGTACAGCTCAGTCAATAAAGAAATCATTACTGGTGGGAGACTGGAATGCTTTGCAATGCTTTGCCTTAGTAAGCCTTTAGCTTACAGTTCTGGTTTATATAGGAGCGGGGGGTACTAGATAGCCTTTGGCTTACAGTTCTAGTTTTAGATAATTCAACATTTAAATTGAAAATTTTCATTTTTGCTGGTAAAATCCATATTCGCCCAGTTTTAATTTCACCCTTCACATTTAACATTTTGTATATAATGTTGTTTATTTATGTAAGCTGTAATGATAAATTTGCGAAAAAGATGAAAAAATTCCTCATTTACAGTATTGCCCTCAAAACAGATAATGAAAAATGTTGATATCCCTTGTCATTGAAGTTGTATAAACCCAGAACCCTGTATTAGCTTGCCAATTACTGTAAACCTTTTTTTTTCGTAATACTCAAATTTTAGCGCATTATCAAGTTTTAATAGATTAGCGCATTAATGTATTGGCACGTCCTGAGAATATGCAATAGAGAACAATGTGCAAGAACTTGAATGGGAATATTTATGATTTAGCAAAATAATTCAAGTGTGAAAAGTGCTAAAATAAAACTAACCACTAAAATATGTTCATTTACGGTAAGATCTTGTATGGTCTCTGGTCAGAGCCATATCTAATTATCTCGCTTATACATGTACATGCACTGACAGTGGTTTATCTACTTAAATTTTTACAATAGCATTTTGATTTTACATTGCAAATCAATGCATTGACTTCAAAAATAAATTAGGCATTTAAGCAGTTAGATACATTTGTATGGGAAATAAGAAACACATATAGTCTTTTTTGGTCTACCCCAGATATAACGTTGCAAGAATGAACAAGTGAGCGTGAAAATGACTATTGTAAGATATATTGTAATGCTGTGAATGTTTCATTTTTTTTTAATTTAATTTTTTTACGATAGCCTGTTCCTACATGAATTGGGAAAATGAAGCATTAGTTTCATCGAAATTGGGAAGATGTTCCTTGATTTTTCTACATTTTAGGAAATTGATTCTTACTGATACATGATATACTACATGAGTTTATTGAGTCTTTGATTTTACTTTATCAGCTAAGTTTTCTGTGGTGTATTCTTGTTCCTAGATGAATCTCCCTGGGGAAAAATACTGGGAAAATAGCCCTATATAAAAGCAGGTCATCTTTTAATGTTTCTTTTCTAACTCGTTTATTTTGAATTTGTCGGCTTATCCTGTTTTAAACTTAATATTTACAATCAGTTACGATTGTTAATTTGATTTTAATCCAGTGATGTGGCTGTGGATTGAGTAACTGAATTCAAAATCAAATTATTTTTCCTTTTTTTTTGTCGCACAGGATGGCCTTCTGTCTCAAGGGTACAGTGACCTCATTAACAGACTACACCAGCAGATTCCCAAGGTCACTAATGACGGCAAACGTCTACAGATGGTCGTCTGCTCGGCAACACTCCACTCGTTCGATGTCAAGAAAATGGCGGTAAGGATTTATAACGTGATGAGATATCAATGACTTACAATCAAAATCGTTACGGCGTCAACAAGCAGTGTACAACATTGTATCTTTTTCGGAGACTTGTTGTTTGTGCGTATTGTCAACCTAAGATCGCGCATACACGTATATGGAAATGTAAAATTTACATTGCATGTACATGTTTCAAACCATGTATCATGACCTGAATGTTTCGTTGAATATGTACTTATCCACATTTTCGTGAACTATAATGGTATTTATGATTACAAGAGGGTAAAAATGAAGAACACTACAAATGCTTGAAGGCTGTCCATACCGGCCGCTGCACTGAAAGGTATTATCATAGAACGGTGCAAGTTTGGACAACTCATTATATTTAACGATTTTGATTGTATGTCTGCTCCCACAAAAGTACGTACTGTATAGCATTTCAAATTTGCAGGGTCAATATTTCGTGGTTTCGTATTCAGTATGTATTTGCGGGGGTTAAATTTTGCCATGCACATCTTTCATTACTACATTGTATGTATATTATGTTGTTTACAAATATTCGCTGTAAGGATTAATTTGCCCTCATCACGGAGGACGAAAAAGACGAAAAAAATCAACTGTGGCGAAAATTTCCAGGTACCAGGTATACAATAATAACTCCAAAGTCAAGGTCACAGATTGCCGCCAAATTTCAGTTCTGTTTGTCAGTTAATATTTTCTAGTTGGAACATGACTTTGTTTCGTTGAAACTCAATCATATATATATGACTATCAACTACAGAAATGCCGTTCCTCACTTCATTATTAAGGTCACAAATAGAGGTCAAATGTCAAATCTTTTTGTCTGGAGCTTATAGAAGTTATTAGAATTGAATTACATAAAATTAGACATATTTTACCAACCACCAGGTGTTGTGCAAACCTAATATTTTATGATTCTGTGGCACAATTTCTTTACAGATACAATGTAAATAACGAGTTCGTTTTGTAGGAGCGTCTGATGTACTTCCCCACATGGATAGATCTGAAAGGTCAGGACGCGGTGCCGGAGACTGTCCATCACGTGGTGAGTTTAATTTTATAACAATGTTGTACATAATAATTGTTAGTTTACTAATGTGAAATAAATTTTGATCCAGTTTTTGGCCTCACCTGGCCAGAAAAGCCAGGTGAGCTAATATGCCGTGGTGCTGAATGACCTTGACCCACTTTCCAGGTCACAGGGGTGAAATATTATTCTGAATGACCCAGAGGCCTATAGGAGGATGTTATTTGGCTAGTAGCCTACTGGAATGAAGGGTTATCTATTTAGTTCAAGTAAGTAATCTTGAGTCATTTTCAAGGTCACAGGGGTGAAATATTATTCTGAATGACCCAGAGGCCTATAGGAGGATGTTATTTGGCTAGTAGCCTACTGGAATGAAGGGCTATCTATTTAGTTCAAGTAAGTAAACTTGAGTCATTTTTAAGGTTACAGGGATGAAATATGTAAGAAACTCTATACAAATTCTTCTGAATAACCAAGAGGCCTAGAATGATGATATTTGGCCAGTAGCCTACTGAAATAAAAGGCTATCTATATATGTTGTTCTCATAAATGATCTTGACTCATTTTCGAGGTCACAAGGGTGAAATAATTAAAACATTCACTAGACTTTTTTGGAAAGACTAGAGGCTGAGGATGATGATGTTTTGGCCAGAAGTGTGATGGAAAGAAAGACTGCAGTATTCAATCAATTAAACGACGTTGACCCACTTTCAAAGTCGCAAGATCAAAAGTATTACAACCCTTAAACGATGAAATAGATCCTTGGGGTCATGATATTTGTCCAGTAGCTTAACTTATTCACCCCTGAAATTTTGTAATGAACTGTTCCATTACCTTTGAATTGGAAGAGTTCAAATGTGTCTACAGATCTAGAGGTGATTAAGTTAATGGTATAAAGTGCTTTGAAGTGTGAGGTGCTTTGAATTGTGGGATCTGAATGAATGACATCGATCATTTTTGAAGGGCATTCATTTTCACTTTTAGACTTAAAGAATCTTGGATATCATTGTAATGTATACATCTTGTAATTGTAAGATGGCTACTTTGAAGAGTTGATGATGGGCATAAAACTATAGGTTTTCATGAATGATATCTCAATTCTTTGTAATGTGATAAAAATATGTTGAATTCCCTATAGGATCCCAGCTTCGACTGAAGTCAGACATATACTATGTTTGGTATGTCCATGAGTGTCTATATGCTGACTGTGTGTGGTTTCCGGAGCATATCTCAGCCTCTGTTTCACAAATGGGCTTCAAACTTTCATCATGTGAAAGTGGTGTTTCTCATTCTATAACAAGGTCACTGTGACTCGACCTTTGACCTTGACTTAAAAGTACTGAAATAATGGTTTCCAAAGCATATTTCAGCTGCTGTTTCATGAATGGGCATAAAGTTTGTATATTAGTACAACACATGAAGGTGTTATGTCGCATCCGAAAACGAGGTCACTGTGACCTTAATTCGACCTTTGACCTCAAGTACTTAAATATAGTGTAATACACGTTTCTGACTTGTTATATCTTCATATCTTAGCCACTGTTTCATGAATGGGGTTTGAACTTAGTAGACATGTGGGAAGCTTGGGTATCCGTGAAGCCAATGCTTCAAGTGAAATTTAGTTTCCAATTTATTTCAGAATGATGAAACTTGTTTCCAACTTTTCTTTCTATCTTGGCAAAACTTTGCTGAAAAGAAACGGATGAAATTAATTTGAAAATCTCATTTAAAAGGTAACTCACCTATCATCCTGTTTGTTTTCTTAAAGCTAATTTTATAAATTATCGTGTAAAAATTTCAAAAAAAACAATCAAAGTTGGCAGAGTTTGCTTATTTATCTCCAATTTAATTAATTTAATTTCAGTAACATATGTTTTACTGTTAACCCTTTCATCCCTATGTAACTTCAGTAGACTCTACCATGCCTTGACCTGGATGAGTCCATTATGGTCTACAGTGATGAAAGGGCTAAGTTCCGATATAATTCAATACTCAACAGTACTGCATCATTTCGCGCATGCCAGTTCAATCTTTGCTTGCACCACCAAGCAGGCAAGGAAGCCTTCCCCCTAAAGACAACCCCTATTTGTAGTAATGTACGGGTTTCCCCATCTGTATTAATCTCAATTAAAGGAAGATCTCAGTTTCAAGTCATTCTGGTAAAGACCTCAAAATTAAGGTTGTAATTGGCACGCTTTGAATCTCCCTGCATTGTTGGTTGTACACCTGTCATTCAGGAAGTTGTACAGGTATCGGTCACGTTATTTTGACTAATTATGACCGCGGATCAGAAGTGTTGGGGCCCTACACTAACGAGTGTATGCTAATCTGTTTACTCCATAGCATGGTCGTGTCAAATTCTTTACCTGATCAGAGTTTGGTGGTCATCTGTCAAGGTTAAAGGGTCAAAGGTCAAAGTCAAATATCCCATTTTACCACTTTTTTCAATTTTCTCAACAATTTCAGTTTATATTTGCACTATAGAAGGTAACATAGAGGTCTACACCTGATTAGATTAGGGGGTCATTGGTCATGGTTAAAAGGTCAAAGGTCACAGGCAAATCGAGAAGGGGGTATATCTGATCTGTGAGCCTTTCATTTGCTGACTTTGTTTGTCTTTTTTTTTCTCAAACATTAATACATGTAGTACCACATATACAAAAACAATTAAAAGTGCACATCTATAAAGTATTGATGAAAAAAATAGCTCACAGACAACGAACAAAAGTTTTAAAGCTTTTGAATTAAAGTACAACTTGGTTAAAAAAGTACATGTGTGTGTGTTTCTGAAGTGAAGATTTACCATCACTTGAACTCGTAACATCCCTGACATGTACGGCGACATGTCAGCGGATAACTCTGTCAGTAACGTGGCCGTCAGGCGAGGAGGCAATGTGTTGTTTAATGCCGCTGCTGACATTACCGCCCCTCAATCAAAGCTCATTACCACCTTCTGTGTCAGAGTTCTCTAATGGAAGGGGTTTAATTTCACATAAAACTTACGTTTCGGTACATTCACCAGGGAAATGTGTTAGAAGCAGAGTATGGTTATGTGATGGTACATTTTACACAAGATCTACGCAAGCCTTTCTAGTTGTATCATTTTATTGACGATCAAGCTACAATAACAGTTTGGTCTGACGGTGAACTCGTCAGCACCATTAGAGGAGACAATTGATTGTGTCGAGGTATTCATCTCTTAGCTGCAATGTGTTTTTATACCTCCACAATGAAGTTAGGTGGATATCTGTTTGATTGTTTGCAGTGATTTCTCCAGAAGAGGGGGATTGAGTACATCCCCGTCAATTTCTACATTCTGCCTATATCACACTGTCGATGCCCTCCATTTTCTTTCAAATCTGGAGAAGACACTGGTCTTTTCATAGAGGAAGGTTTTTACAAGGCACTGCTGATCTTCTCAACTGATTTTGAAACTTGGCATACACGATTTGTCACTTTGTTGTGATGCACTCCTTTTTATTTTTTGATGATTTTGTTGAAATTAATTCCTTCTTATTGACATTGTTTTGTAAGGTTTGCTATTAGTACTTAAGTTCTTGTCCGATAAAACTTAGTATAGTGTGTAAATTTTATTAATTTCGCAACAATTATGAAACAAGTTATTACAACTTATATAAATCACTCTTGTTGGCCCGAGCATTAGCGCACAGGGGATCTTGATGTAAGAGGGAAGTGGAGTACCCGGAGAAAACTCATATGGTTAGGCATTTTTAGGTCACCTGAGCTTTAGCTCAAGTGACCTATTGCTATCCGTTTTCGTCCGTCGTCCGTCGTCCGTTAACATTTTACATTTCAAACTTAAAGTCAAGTTCTGCTGGGCCGATTGAACTGAAAGATGGTAGGAATGATTGCCTCATGGTCCTGACAAAGTGTTGTTATTTTTCGGGTCGATCAGAAATCCAATATGGCCGCCACGGCCGCCATTTTGAAAAACTATTTCAAACTTAAAGTCAAGTTCTGCTGGGCAGATTGAACTGAAAATTGGTAGGAATGATCGACTCATGGTCCTGACAAAGTGTTGTTATTTTTCAGGTCAATCAGAAATCCAATATGGCCACCATGGCCGCCATTTTGAAAAACTATTTCAAATTTAAAGTCAAGTTCTACTTGGCTGATTGAACTGAAACTTTGTAGGAATGATCGACTCATGGTCCTGACAGAGTGTTGTTATGTTTCGGGTCAATCAGAAATCCGATTTGGCTGCCATGGCCTCTATTTTGTAAATACCTATTTTAAACTTAAAAACAAGTTCTAATAGGCCGATCTCACTTAAAATTGGTCTAGGAATGATCAGCTCATGGTCCTGACAAAGTTAAGTTAACATTATACTATTTTTTACTCAAATTGGTACATATTTCAACAACAGAAATAAATACTGTAGGACTCAGGTGACCGTTAAGGCCCATGGGCCTCTTGTTAAATTTTTAGCTCATCTGCCCGAAAGGCAAGTGAGCTTATGTCATGGTGCAGTGTCCGTTGTGAAAATGACCTTGACCTACTTTCAATGTCACAACAGTCAAATACAGTCGAACCTCGTTATCTTGAAGTCGACGGGATCGTTGGGAAACTTCGAGTTATCCGAGTATTCGAGTTAAGCGAGTTCCTATGTTTGGCATAAAGCTTGGTAAAGTTCCAATATGAGGCTATATATGTCATTGATTTCTCTGACAATCAACGTATTTAAACAGTCGATAAATGACAAAAAGATAACTACCGTAAAAACCCATGTAATTTGCGCACTTTTTTTCCAGAAATTTAATACCCAAAGTGGGGGGTGCGTAAAATACACAGGTATAGAAAATTTCAAGTTTTTTTCAGGAAAAGATCGACGATTCTGGGAGATCGCCATTTTGGATTATTTCCCTTGGTACACGTAACTCTAATTAAGACAAATGACGGTCAACAAATATATTTATGTCAAACATTAATAAAAGATACATAATGTGTTGTTATGTGAGTTTATGTGGAAAATATTATTAAATAGGTAACCGTTAA